CGTCATTCGAAAGATTCTTCACGTCGGCTGCCTTTTTTGTTGTTGTAAAAGGCTTACATATTTTTTTTTTTTAAATTTCCTTTATCACGTCGTCTTTCACAAATCGTACGAATACAACAACTGGCGTATATTAAAAATATCAGTGGTCTCGTTAAGGTGGACGGTGAATTTTGCAGGGCTTGTAATCAAATCTGCAAATACTTGAACCAATGTACCATCGCTCATGTCGTCTATTCTATTGCTAATGGTGGCATTTGAAAGAGTATTTTGGATTAACTTTTCTTCATCAGTTTTTCCCGGTACGATATTCGCTATCTTCAACGCAGTTGGTTTTTACGAGTGTTTCACCAACGGTGTGTGGTTTGCACTGGTTTGCGATCAAGTACACAATGTTGTACCCTTCTCTGATGATCGAGTATGTCTATGGGTACAAAGCCGAGAACTGGCAGAATAGCCTTTTCATCGAATCTGTCTCTCTTCACTTTTAAGTCAGCGAGCGATGTGTTCTTGCATTTCCCATCTCCATGCAGCTTTAGGAAATGTCCCCTTAGTTTTTCCGATGCTAGACTAGAATTGCCCAACTTAGCATTGCAAATTATACATTGGGGACGCTGGCTCCCATCAGCTTCCGTTATACACCTGAATCCATATTCTACGTATTCGTCCGACCACTTTCTTTTATTGCTCATAGTATAAAAGTGTTGAAAGATTAGGTAGGAAATCAAAAATGACGTACAATCACGACAGTCACATCTGCAGCTAATGATGGCCAAGCGAAACGTGACGTCACGAATCATACGAGTGGGTGAACGGAACGGACACACACAGAGCACCAGATCGAACCCAGTTTAAGAACCAATGACCTAGAAAGAACAAAAAGTGCTCAACTCCTATGAAAAGATGGCTCTAGTCGTAACCCGAGTTTCACACTCATGCGATCTTCAGGCGACTATATATATCGTCGGTGTAAAACTAAATTGCTGAAAAGAAAAATATTTTTCAATAACTGATTTTTAATATATCACAAGATTTTTAACTCCCACATCTCGATGAATCTGTCACCGATTCTGGGTCAAAGTGAGAGAAAATATTCATTTAACTCCCCACTCTCGTGCTATTTTAAAAATCAGTTGTTGAAAAATAATCATTTTTCAACAATTTAGTTTTATTCAGTCAATATATTTCTGAAGATGGGTCGGTCAAAAGTTACCTTAGGCTATAATTTTACTCGTTCCGTTACTATTGTATCCTATTTTAGTAATTAATTATGATCCTTCAGTATCTGTCTATATTTCTGAGATGAGATATTATGTACACTATTGTCCTCATCTTTTTCGCCATATTTTTTACAACGTTTCAGCCGTTATACGCTCCAGACTTCTTCAGGTAGTTGGAATGTCGAACTGTACCCTTTATTTCGCACACTGGGGTAGACTGTTCTAGTTCCACGTCCCACGTTTAATGGGTGTCAGTTATCTTTCGTTAATTCCCCTCTCTAAGTTCTCCATTGCCTTAACCGGGTATTGAACTCACACTCTTTGGGTCCTGTCACTGGATCTAACCAACGCCTTTATCCAATGTGCCATTTGTACTTGAGGAAACGTTGTAATAAATATGGCGATCAAGCTGGGGACAATAATCCGAATAATGTAAATAATGTAATTATGATCCCTGTTAGTTAAATGATCTTACCTTGGTATGGATTCCAAAACTTTTTACACACACACACACACACACACACACATATATATATATATATATATATATATATATATATATATATATATATATATATATATATATATATGAGTCACAAATTATGAAATGGAAATCCGACAATTATTTTAAGACATTTTAATGTTTATACATTCTTTTTATAGATACAAATATTTAAGTAAATGCTCTGTTTATAATAAACAGTATTAAACAACATTTACCGGCCTGAATGTCCGAGAAATTTTCACAGAAACGGAGGACGAATATTTTCTGTAAAAATTTCTCGACATTCAGGCCGGTAAACGTTGTTTAATATTGTTTATTATAAACGGAGCATTTACTTAAATATTTGTATCTATAAAAAGAATGTATAAACATAAAAATGTCTTAAGATATATATATATATATATATATATATGTGTGTGTGTGTGTGTGTGTATGTATATATATATTTTCATCAGACCATATATGGCAGCAATATTACAGGCATAGACGAAATGGTACATAAGACCTCATGGTGAATTTTCTGTAATGGATTATTTTTCCACATCCAGGCAATGTGCTGTGAGGAACGGGATATTTCAATGTTTTCTCACCATAATGAGTTCCATCTACCATGATTTAGGAATTAAGAGATTTCCTCATCTGATAATAGCTGCCAACCAACACAGAAATTCCAGTCGAAGAGAATTTTTACTTTTGAATTATTGATTATTAACGTAATAATTTTAGTTTCTTCTTAAGCAGTTTTCAAGTGATATGTTTATTAAAAAAAGAACAGAAAACCATTTTTTTCTGTTTTTGTGACTTTCTTTATACTTATTTTTCTTCTTCAATGTACGTTGTCTCTCCAGGGCGTAGGCAATCCTGCCTCGCCACAATGTCCAGTTCGTTGTAGATCTTAGTATATTTTGTATTTTCGTTACCATTTCTAACCCCTGTTCTAGCAACTATTTACACAAAATTGTTGATTAGTTTATACACTGCTTTCCTCTTTCCCTAAATATGTCATATGAGTATCAAATTTTCTAAGCCTTCTTTTCTCATCATGTGCAGAGAAATTTTAACTGTCTCTTTCTCATCTCAAGTACAAGTGTATATTTTGCTTCCATTTTCTCTCAAACCTCGCCGTTCTTCAATTTTTGCAATCTACGGTATCCTCAGTATCCTTCTGTAGAACCACATTTCTGTTGTCACAGACATTCTCTATCATTTAGGAAGACCGATACTACAGAAAACTTTACTCTTTTCTTTAAATCTAACGAGATTTTGCTGATTCTTAATACTTTGCTTAGCTTTTGGAAGACCTCTTTCGAGTGTAAATATTCACTCATCTGTAAACCATTGACGTATTTCAAGCCGAGTGTAGCTTTTGCTTCAATTAAGCATGTGCCTCTCTGATAGTTAAAAATTAATTAAATTTATTTTAAATTAATGATTGAACTTTTATGTTATTTCTTGACGGGTTATTAATTTAGGAAATGATTTAATTCTATGATAATAGAAATATTATTTCTCTCTACTATTTTTTACTGGTGTGTTTACTTTATTGGTTAAAGATATGAGAAATATTAATGCTCGCTATGGCGGTGATGGTGTAAGCACGGAACAGCTATCAAGTGACCATCAAAACATTAAAAAACAGAATCCTAGACCCAACCCCTAATGCTAGCATCTCTAACCGCAACAAAAACGACTATATGGATTAAAAGAATTAAGATATCAAAAACAAATTGCAATAATTGTGGTTTTAAATCATTTTTTTTCTATTGTTTTATCGTTATAAAAAATCGATTACGTTTATTGCAGTAAAAAGTCTTTTTATGCTACAATTTGTTTCCATGGCATCTAACCTCTCTTGCTCTCAATTTTTTCACTGTCTCTCGTTTTAACTTTCTCTCTCTCTCTCTCTCGCTCTCTCTCTCTCTCACTGTCTCTCGATTTCGTTCTCTCTCTCTCTCTCTCTCTCTCTCTCTCACACACACACACACACATTCGCTTTCTCCCTCTCTCATTGTCTCTCGCTTTCGCTTTCTCTCTCTCTCGGCCTCTCTCGCTCTCTCTCACTGTCTCTCGATTTCGTTTTTTTCTCTCTCTCTCTCTCACTCACTATCTCTCATATTCGCTTTCTCCCTCTCTCACTGTTCATCGCTTTTGCTTTCTTTCTCTCTCTCTCTCTCACTCTCTCTCGCATTCGCTTTCTCTTGCTCTCTCTCTCACTGTCTGTCACATTCGCTTTCTCTCTCTCTCACTGTCTATCGCATTCGCTTTCTCTCTCTCTCTCGCTCACTCATATTCTCTCTCTCACTCACTCTCATATTCTCTCTCGCTTTCTCTCTCTCTCACTGTCTCTCACATTCGCTTTCGCTCGCTCTATTTCTTTCTCTCACTGTCTCTCGGTTCTCTCTATCTCTCACGTTCACTCTCCCTCATTGTCTTCTCTCTCACTGTCAGTCGCTTTTGCTTGCTATCTCTTTATATCACTCTCTCTCTCTTTCTCTCTCTCTCTCTTTGTCTCTTGCGTTTGGTTTCTATCTCTCTCTCATACTGTCTCACGCTTTCACTTTCTCTCTCTCGCTCTCTCTCACTGTCTCTCTCTCTCTCTTTCTCTCTCTCTCTCCCTCTCTCTCTCTCGGTCTCTTGTTTTCGCTTTTCTTTCTTTCTCTCATTGTCTCACGCTCTGCCTTTCTGTTTCAAATGAAAGTGATCATCTATTTTATTCAGTTCGTATCTTTTCAACGTTTGCTTTCTAAAGTTCCTGTTCAATTATAGTAAAGGGTGGGGCTTAGTTCTAATTATTTTCTGTACTTAATTTATTGAATTTATTTTAAAAGTTTTATTCAGATAAAACCTGGTTGCTTTATCATTGTTTCGCGTCCGCCATGACTAATTCTTCGTGGGTACTTTTTTATATTCTATGCATAGTTTTTTTGGTTTGTTAATTTACTAGATATTATTTGTGGGTGGTGTTGCCTGAAAAGTCACTGACTATGAATATTCATGAAGTTGTTCGATGTTTGTAGTTGTTTGTTCTTTTCTTTTCTTTTTTTTTTTTTTTTCATTATCTCTGTCGGGTTTTTAGCTCTGTGTGAGGCTCCTAAGAGGCTGATAAACTTCTGATAGCGACTGGCTATCTCATAATGTCGTGCCCATCATGCTGTATACATTGTATACATTGTAAATTGCAAAAAGAAAAGGATGATCAAGACCTCGAGGAAAATTGGGACAAAGAAAAAAAGAAAAGGAAAAGAAAAGAAAGGAAAGAAATGAGAATGAGTGAAAATTTAAAAAAAAGAATGCATTTGATAGAAGAAAAACGATAAAAGTAGAAAAAGAAAGAAAGAAAGAAAGAAAGAAAGAAAGAAAGAAAGAAAGAAATTAATTGGATGAAGGGCAAAAAAAGAAAAATTTAAAAAAGAAAGAAAGAAAAAAATAAAAGAAAAAGAAAGAAAGAAAGAAAAAGAATTTAATTGGATCATGGGAAAAAAGACATCATTTTTTTTTTTAAAAAAAAAGAAAGAATTTGATAGGAGGATAACCACAAAAACGAGGGAGAAAGAAAAAAAAAGAAAAAACTTAATTGAATGAAAGAAAAATAATATTTTTTTCTTTAAAAAAGAAAGAATTTGATGGGATAAAAAACCGATAAAAATGAGAATAAAAAATGGTATTTCTAATAAATAACAAAGAATTTTGTATAAAAAAATACGAAAGAGAATTTATATTAGAGACCTGTAATAAACGATAAAGCCAGAAATTTAAAGTTATTTCTATTAAAGTTCGGAAAGAAAGAAGGAAAGAAAACAAGAGTGAAAGAAATAAAGAAAGAAAAAAAAAACGAATGAATTAAAATGAGAATGAAATTATATAAAATTATATAGAAAGAATAACAGGTAGGAAGGAAGGAAAGAAAAGAAAATATTTTGACCAAAGAACGGAAAATTCTGAAACACGTAAGAAAACATTTGTATAAAAAAAATAAAAAAGAAAGAAAGAAAGAAAGTAAGAAAGAAAGAAAGAAAGAAAGAAAAAAAAGAATAAACAGTTATGACAGAATGTGCATCTTTTAAAAAGAAAGAATTTGAATGAAAGGAAAAAAAGCGCTAGAAAGAAAAACACTATTTGCATTATTCGGATTATTGTCCTCATCTTTGTTGCCATATTTATCACAACATTTCGGCCGTTGTATGTTCCGGCCTGCTTCAGGTGGTTGGAATTTTGAACTGAAACCTTTATTTCGCTCGCCAGGGTAGACTGTTCTAGTTCCTCGTACCATGTCTAATGGATGTCAGTTATCTCCTGTTAATTCACCTCTCCAAGTTCTCCACTGCCTTAACCAGGTATTGAACTCACACTGCCACTCGATCTAACCACTGTGCCATGTGTCTTTAAGGCGTTGGTTAGATCCAGTGACAGTGTGATTTCAATACCTGGTTAAGACAGTGGAGAACTTGGAGAGATAGATAGATAGATAGATAGATAGATAGATAGATAGATAGATAGATATGAACAGATTCAGATGGATATATATCAATATAATGAAATGGATAGGTAGACAGATATGAACAGATTGAGATAGATAGATAGATAGATAGATAGATAGATAGATAGATAGATAGATAGATTACACATGAGTATCAGAAAAAGTCAGCTGCTTCAGATGGTTGACAGGGAAGACATGGAACGTAACCATATAGACACCAGGTGCAGATTCGCACCTCATAGATTTGTCAGTATCTACCCCGGCATATAAGAAGGTTGTCGACTCAGCTGCGCTTAAGATGTACACGCGTGGAGCCAGCAACCGGATGAGGCAGTTTATATCAGCACACACCAGCTTGGAAAATGGTATATCTGTTGCTTTAATTCTTCTGCGAAGACACTTCCATATTGAGACATTGACATTGCATAACATTTGAGCACTCTTTTCTTTGTCGACACACGCCCGAAGGCAATAGTTGCTGCAAGCAAAACGATTACTGAACAATTTGAACTTGACATGCTCTGTTAACCATCACTACATATATGTACCATGTTTGGCATCAATAAATTTAAATGGTTGTATGATGTGATTGTTTTTCTTACAGTTTTCGATGTGTCCCCAAATATCTTACATACACACACACACATACACACACACTCTCTCTCTCTTTCTCTCTCTCTCTCTCTTTCTCTAATCATAAAATTGTATGTGTTTAAAATAATGAAATCTTATATTTTTCCCAAGATGGCGTTATTCGTAACTAAATATAGTGAAAGAAAAGGAATGACTTTTAAAAAAAGTCGTTTACCATTTTATGTTCTTTGCTTTGAGTGCACGAGTTTAAAGCATTAAATGGTAAACGACTTTCAAGAGCAAAGCCAGCTTGGGTAAAATATGCCAAGCACAGGTATTGAATTCTAACAGGTTCTATCACCCCGGGTCAAAGTAGACCTGGGAAGAAAAGCAGTTAACAGACGGTTCCACGCTCATAAAACCCTCCAACCTCTGGATCCGAGGCCTTGCTGCTGAATTTAGTTTATCGTCATACCCAGGACGATGTTATTATTCTTTTCATTATTATTATTTTTATTATTAGTCTTACTGTTGTTTATTTGCGTCTGATACTTCTTTATCACCTTTTGATAGCATTACATTTCTCTTCTTCTTTTTCTTCTATTTCTTCTTCTTCTTCTTCTATTTCTTCTTCTTCTTCTTCTTCTTCTTATTATTATTATTATTATTATTTGCGTATGTTATGTTTCCTGCTTTGTATCCTGTCAATCCGGGTCTAAACTATGGTCCTTGGGCCCTATAGGAGAATTGCCATTTAATTGATAGCACTTTTCTTAGTATATGGGATGTTCCTAGTAAGGCGACCTTCTGGGCACCTTGTATGTTGATGTTACCTGGGACACTGTTAGTAAAATTGTCCATTCCTTTTCTCACGAGGCCCAGAGCTTCGATTAATATTGGTACTGACTCAGTCTTCGTTCCTCACATCCTGTTAATCTCGATCCTTGTATTTGGACAATTTCTCGATAATTTTTTATGGAGGTATTTCTCTCAGATGGTACTGCTATGTCAATAAGCATACACTTGCTGAATTTCTTGTCTTTTATGATAATATCAGGTCTGTTAGCTTTTATTTCCCAGAGGATAGTTCTTGTTCCACTTCTTTTATGTGCCGTGTCCCTTCAGGACGTAGGTGATCATGGCTCTCCACTTCTTCCTGTCACTTGTAGCTCACAATAAGCGTTGATTTTTTGTTATATCTCAGAGACCCTGTTCTCCCATTCACTTGCTTAAGTCCATTAAGAATGTCACACGTTGCTTTCCCTCGTTTTCTTTACCTATATGCGCCCTATGAGTATCAGATTTTCTAAGACCGTCTTTCTCATTAAGTGTCCCCGAAATTTCATCTGCCTCTTCCTGATATTAAATATGAATATCCTTTTTATTTGTATCTTCTCCAAAACTTCATCGTGGCTCATGTTTGGTCCATGGCATCCTCAGCATCCTTCTGTAAAACCATGCATCTGTTTCCTCAAGTCTCTTATTCATATATGACTATTTTGGGTAACTGTGTCTGGTTGATGCTCATACCATCTCTCAGTGGTATCGATTTTGTGCTTCTTGCATATCTTCCACTGTACATATGTCGCCACCTACTTATGTCTGTGGGTATATTCATTTTTCGCTAATTGCTCATTATTATAATTATTGTTATCATTATTGTCTCACAATTATTATTTTCCCATCTTATTAGCTATATATACTTATTATTATTGTTATAGCCTCACAATTATCATTATTTTCCCATCTTATTAGCAATATATAGTTATTATTATTGTTATTACTGACACTTTATCAAGCTCTTGTTATCATTATAATTCTCTTATTATGATCTTTAATTCAGTTATTATCTTATTATTCTCGAGTTATGATTAGTGTTCCTTCTCGTCTTATACGGCACGATTATTTTATGTTTATTTTTATTATTATTATTATTATTATTATTATTATTATTATTATCATAATTAATATTATATATTATATATATATATTATATAATATATAATATATTATATATAATATATTATATATTATATATAATATATTATATATTATATATTATATTATATATCATAT